TTCCAATATGCGTTTTTGCTGCCTGTTGCAGCGCTCTAGCGCTGCATGGCAAAAACGCATAAAAATCGAACTCGGCGTGTGTCACAACGGACACAACACTATGAATGAGAATGTTTATAGTCAGTGTGTTGGCCCGTCAGCCTAAAAGGAGCTCTCACGTACGCCTAAGTCTCATATGCACACAAAAAATATTATTGAAGAAAAGCGATTTGGATGATAGTGATGTTCAAAGTAGAAAGCTGAAATTTTACGAGATCCATATCCATACGCTAACCAGAGAGCTTAAATTCAGCTTTTACGACAACTGACCTTCTGGCGTTTGGAAGATGTGGAAATTGGTGCTAATTTTGTAACTTTACAACCAAAACAGCTAATAAACCAAAACTTCTTGAGCTTTCTTTACGGTACTGCTTGGATAAGTATACACGAAATCATTTTTTACACGCTGCTTTCATTTTACATATGAGATACGCAGAAGATTGACGCTGATACTTTTATAACTTCCCAAATAGCTAGGGAGATGGGATTCTGTGCGCATTGCTCAGGACATTGTGCGGATAGTTGCACCCAAGCAGATCTGCTGAAATCTCGCGCTCGGGTGCGTTGAATTTGATGCAGGCAAGTTCGGCATGTCCAAACGTGGGATTTCGGGAAAATTGGAAACTGTTTTACTCGCCTTTTTGATGTTAGTGGGTGTGAAAATAAGTGAAATTTGAAAAAAATTTTTCCATATAGCTCAACAAGACCGAAATTCTGCAGGAATCTGCCGTATTACCGCAAACTCGTTTCCGGGACATCAATCGGAATCTGCAAGCATTGGATCTTGACAATTCCAGGCGCTTCAATCCATTCATGGCAGCTTTTGGAGTGCGAGTGAGCTCGACACCACTCACTGTAAGTGAAAGCACCATTCTGCCACCTCTGTGTTTTGCTGCTACATGAAAACTGTGCCCTTCCACCATCCCACATGTCGTGTGATTTCAGGTTGAAGGTCATCGTCGGGGTGCGCCACAAGTTATATATTCCGATGCGGGT